ACAGTTTTAAAATGAGTTATAATAAACTAATTATCCTTGACATTGTTAATATTCCAGTTATGCAGTTTACTTTGTTCCAGCTACTGAAAGCCAACAACGCACAGCCAGGATATTTTTGGTACTGTGGTAGACATCAGGATAAAACTATTCCCTAGGGAAGAAAAGCATTCAGTGAAATTAGACAGAATATAGTTCCTGTCTCACTTAAGTCCTGGGAAAGGTCATGCGGATGGGAAATCACATATTGTATAATGTAGCAGAGAAACATATACTAGATAAAAGTTTAGTTGCATGAAATGCTTACTACAGGAATATAATGTACAATTAAAGTATGAATTTAAAAAATTGCAATGCATAGCTAACCCTAAAAATTCTATATTGCTGCTTACCTGTCTTTTTACTTTATGATTCTGCCAGTAGCACCCTTCCTGTGCTATATAATAACATCAGCAAGATAAGTAGTCGTGGACTTTATGTGGGCATATAGATACAGAACTTGAGTGTCCTAAAAACAATCCTTTATTACAACACTTTAAAAACAATACAATAAAAAAGCTCTTGGCTTAGAGGTTCACAACATGTACAGATCCCATTATTTATTTATATTGTACATTCACATCAGTCCTTAACCCTCAAGGGGCATACAATCTAAGGTCCCTAACTTACATTCATACATACACATACTAGGACCAATTTAGACAGGATCCAACTAACCTACCAGCATGTCTTTGAAGTGTGGGAGGAAACTAGAGTACCTGGAGGAAACCCATGCAGGCACAGGGAGAACATGTAAACTCCAGGCAGGTGGTGCCGTGGTTGGGATTTGAACCAACAACCCTAGTACAGCCAAGTGGAAGTACTAACCAATTAGCCATTGTGCTTCCCCTTAGAATTAGGCTCATGTAGGCTTGACGCGTTTCAGAAATCCTTCTTTAGGAACATGTGAGGGCATCTACAGGGTGTAAATACATTACAAATATACATTGCCATTACACTATTAAATTGCCATAAATATATTTGTATCTTCATGACTACTTATCTTGCTAGTGTTATTATATAATATATAAGGACTTGGACATATAGCACACACAGTCGTGGCTTCATTACTATACACATTTCCTGTGCTAGGGTGACACTCATGGTCCTGTATCCATTGAAGAGCAATAGGATGCTTCCCTGATGGACTACAAATATTCCCCTCTTTCTTATCTGCATTACATTGGGTGAGATGTTTTGTAGTTCATAGAAGATAGCTGGAGTGAAGGATACAATTGACTGAATATTCAGCTCAGTGCATATGAAGCACACTGGATTTCTGACAGGATCAACAAAACTTTTCCTGTACTTGTGGAAAATGTACTTATCCAGAATAAAAAAAAAACTAATGCAGCTACCACATCTAATGCTGTAATATATTTTTGTTGTTTGCTTGGGATATTCTTGAAGCATTTCACGATCGCAGGCCTAGAAAAATCTAATTGCCATGCCTGGCCACCTTATTTCAGGACGGTGGATCTTATTTCTACAACATACCTCATGTATCTTGTGCAAAACTGTTAAACACTCATTTTGGGCCTTAGAACAGTGGATGAACAGTGGAAGACAGTAAACTGCTTGCAGCTTCAATGTCCTGTCAAGTGTAGATCTATTGCTGCTTTATTTTTATAATCAAATATCACTAAAGTTTTCAAACAGTACAAAAGAAAAAGTATTAGAAATGCAATTCCTAGACATACTCAAGGAACATACAGTGAACAGCATGATACATATATATCAGATAAAGAAGGCAAAGTAAACAAGGTGCATCAAAAGCTACATCAAGCTACAAAGCAAATATTAGCTTGGTAAAAAAGGCATGAACAGCCTATACAGGGTCAGGAGAGCCTTACTGCTTGAAGAAAAAAAGATAACTGCATAAAGGGGCAAAGAAAGAAAAAGAAAACAAAACATTTCTTACTACCCTGTTTCCCCTAAATAAGACCTACCCCGAAAATAAGACCTAGTGCTATTTTTGGGAATTGCTAAAGTATAAGACCTACCCTGAAAATAAAACCTAGTTGTGATCAGGGCTTTTTTTCAGCCGGAACATGGCGGAACGCCATTCCACCACCTCCAGCACTGGCCCTGCACACACCCATATCTACTGTCTCTTATAAACACAGAAGCGCGGCTGAAGTGACAGCACCATCCGCTCCCACAGAACCTTCCTACCTCTGTACTCACTGTGGGACAGGGAAGGAACAGATATCTCCTCCTGCACCTCCTCCTGCACCCTAATGCATGGAAGCCGATGCCCCAGGGGTGATCACCGGCCAGTGGGGAAGAGGCAAAGCGGTGAGTAAGTGTGGTTGGTGCACTGTGTGGGAAGATAGGACCCAAAATAGGAGTTACTATAGAGAGGTGCCGGCTGCTGACAGCTGTGTTTTGCAAAACTAGCTAACCATATGAGGGCAGTGGAGGGAGAGGGGGGGATGTGCAAAGGTGAGCTGCAGTCAGATGTTGCAGAGGTAAATTGAGTCAGGTGAGTTGCAGACAGGGTGCATAGGTGAGCTGCGGCTGGGGGGGTGCAGAGGTGAGCTGAGTTGCAACCCACCTTTGCACCCCCAGCCACAGCTCAGCTCTGCACCCCCCAGCCACAGCTCACCTCTGCATTCCCCGTCTGCAACTCACCCCTTCACCCTGTCTGTGGCTCATATCTGCACCCTGTCTGAAACTCACCTGTCAAGTCATCCCTGCAACACCTGACTGCAGCTCACAACTGTCATCAACCGGCCATCTCCATAGTAACCCTCATCCACAACTGCCTGCAGCTCACCTCTGCACCCTCTGTCCACACCTGGAGATTTAAAAAATAAGATCTACCCCGCAAATAAGACCTAGTGTGTTTTTTTGAACCAAAACAAATATAAGACAGTGTCTTATTTTCGGGGAAAAACGGTAGCTAATACCCAGGCAATAAAAATCACAAAAAGTGGGGGTATATCATAATGCTAATCTGGTTAAAAGCCGGCACAGAGGTTACTATGGTTTATGGGGAGGTATACTTAACCATCTGTATTTCTGCAGAATAGTACAGCCAACCCATCCATTTTTATTTTTAAATTTCTCTTACAAATGAAGATCAATTTTATGAAGAAACTATGAGGGCCTGTTTACATCATTGCGCAGCAATGATTAACACAGCATTATGCATTGTGTTAACGTGTTTTGTGTTCTTCTGAATTGGCTTCATTATACACAAAAAAAGGTACATGCACTATTTTTAGCAGTGCAGGACCGTGTATCATGGTGCACTGCAACACAGGTTCCTTGGGGTACTATGGCACCGCAGCGCACCAACATACTTAATATTGCATTACCACAACACAACTTTGTGAATCTGGCCTTGGGGTTAGTTTTATGATCGTATTCCATTCAAAGTTCATACATTTATTACATGAAAAATATTTCCCAGAGCACTATGGTTATCTAAAGAGAAAGTACAGTAGTAAGGACTCTTTCAGAGAGGCAGCCAGACTTAGGCTGGCCATACATTATACAATTATTTTCCAATTTTCTGCCCAATTTCCTTTAGATTTACCTTCAACTGTGTAGTGCAAGGGCCTGCCTAATTGGATACAACTGAAAGTGTTGTTTAGGTTTGTCCTCCTATTATATGGTTTTTTGGTAAATCTAAACCAAAAATCTCCAGATAATTGTATAATGTATGGCCAGCCTTAGGTAAAAACAAGCAGCTTCGCAGCCACCCACCCAAACTGTGAAAACAAAGCCAGACAGGTGTGATAGAGTGCTCATAATTTCTGTTTCAGGCACAGATGTCTGTCATGGAAACTTCAGACTGGGATGCAATTGCAACTTGAGCCATGGAACCTAAAAACTAAAGTCTTTTTTATCAATCACTTTACAACCACACTATAGCTGAATGATGGCTACAGTGGGGTTGTCCAGTTCTGGGAGGGCGTCATATGAGGTCCTCCCAGAACGCGCTCCCTACGCGCCCCTAGCGGCACACACCCGGCGCTTGTCAGTGATCACTGTGTCCTACGGACATAGCTGATCACATGACTAGGTAAAAGGCCAATCACAGCAACCTTTTACCACGTGATCAGCTGTGTCCAATGACACTGCAGATCACAAAGTAAATACAGTTGGCGGTTATCAGCAGAACTTTCCTCACGCTTTCACAACGTGAGGAAAGTACTGACAATAACCGACAAATAAGAGATCCCTGTGCTCAAATCACAACAGCTAGTGCATGCATTTATCCATCAGGTGCTAAAGGGGTGTAACCACATTAACTCTAGAAATTCTGAAGGACCCTCTGCACACTGGTATATACCCTTCCAAGCAGACTATGCAATAAATAGGGATATTTAGTTCACACATATTGCAATACATGCTTAAGCTGGCCAACTGCGTCAAAGTAATCCCTCTATGGCCAGTCCTACTCTGCTCTGCCTACGCAAATGCTACTGTGGACACAATGCTAGCATAGGGGAAAAGACACAATGGGGGAGAGCTACAAGGTTCAGGTCTGGCTACTGACCCAACAATACAACAAACAAGAGATACCGGTGCTCAAATCCCAACAGCTAGTGCATGTATTTATCCATCAGGTGCTAAAGAGGTGTAAACACATATTAACACTAGAAATTCTGAAGGACTGGCCATAGAGGGATTACTTTGACGCAGTTGGCCAGCTTAAGCATGTATTGCAATATGTGTGAACCCAAATATCCCTATTGGATAAATGCATGCACTAGCTGTTGGGATTTGAGCACAGGGATCTCTTGTTTGTTGTATTGTTGGGTCAGTAGCCAGACCTGAACCTTGTAGTTCTTGCCATTGTGTCTTTTCCCCTATGCTAGCATTGTGTCCACAGTAGCATTTGTGGACACAATGCTAGCATAAATATCCCTATTTATTGCATAGTCTGCTTGAAAGGGTATATACCAGTGTGCAGAGGGTCCTTCAGAATTTCTAATAACTGACAAATGTCGCAGAGCAGACCTGCACTGATAATCAGGGCACTGATTATCAGTGCTACCCATGAGTGCCCAGCAGTGCCACCCATCAGAGCTGCCCATCAGTGCCGCCCAGCAGTTGCGCCCATCAGTGCCATCAGTCAGTGCCGCCCAGCAGTGACCATAAGTGCTGCCAGTAGTGCTCATCAGTGCTGCCTATCAGTGCCCATCAGTGTTGCCTATCAGTACAGTATCATCAGTGCCTCCTCATCAATGCCCACCAGTGCTGCTTCATCAGTGCCACCTCATCAGTGCACCCTATCAGTGCCCATCAGTGCTGCCTATCTGTGCCACCTCATCAGTGCTACCTATCAGTGCCCATCAGTGCTACCTATCAGTGCCCATCAGTGCTACCTATCAGTGCATCCTCATCAACACACATCAGTGAAGGAGAACAATTACCTGTTTGCAAAATGTTATAATAGCAAAACTTTTTTTTTTAATTTTTTGCTCTTTTTTTGTTTATAGTGCAAAAAATAAAAACCCCAGTGGTGACTAAATACCACCAAAAGAAAGCTCTATTTGTGTGAAAAAAATTATAACAATTTCATATGGGTACAATGTTGCATGACCGTGGAATTGTTATTCAAAGTGCAACAGCACTGAAAGCTGAAAATTGGCCTGGACACAAAGGGGGTAAAAGTGCCCAGCAGGCAAGTGGTTAATAGTCTGTAAATAGATAGAGTTACATTTCTGAAAATGAGCCCAAAACTTACAAAACAGAATGTAAATTAATAATATGCAATATTTCTTATTTACCTGACTGAAAAACAAAAAAATGTTAATTTTTTAGTTATGACCAGGGCTTTTTTTCTCAGAGAATAGGCTGAGTTACTTCTTGTCTCCCCCCCCCCCCCCCCCATTCCCACCTCGGAGTACCATCCCTTGGTTCCACTCCCTACCCACCTCCCAGTACTTCTCTTTTTAGAAAATACAGAGCCGAATATTACCTTGTGTTGCTAAATAATTAGTATGGAATTTGTTAATGATAACAAGAAAAGCAGTAAAATAGATCCCCCACAGCCAGCAGCAATAGACCGCCCAGCAACAATAGATTCCCTCAGCAACAATGGACCCCCGCAACAAAATACCATCATAGCAACAGTAGACTTCCAGCAGCAACAACAGATCTCTCAGCAGTCAGGATCAATATGCTCTCCTCCTAGCTAGAGACATTATACCCCCAGCAAAAATAGATCCCCCAAAAGCAACAACTGACCTTTACAGCAGTAATAGGCCACCATGCAAAAATAGATCCCTCCAGTAACAATAGATCCCCCAGCAGTTAGCATCAATTGACCTTCCAACAAACCCCAGCACCCCTTGCCATTACATACATTCAGTGCTGGAGGTACCAGAACTGTGTTCCCCCACATTCCCACAAAAAAAAGCCCTGGTATGACCGTAAAAGTTAGGGAAGCACCGAAATTTCATTGGCCAAAACGTTTCGGACGAAAACACCCCTTTCGGCCGTCGACCGATATGAAACAAAGCACCGACAGGTGTCGAAAAAAACCCTCTCCTCGCTGCCTCCCCCGCCCGCCGCTGCCGTACTGCTCAGTAGTTCTCAGCCTTACCTGAGAAACCATCAAAAAATCCTGGCTGGGCATAGAGATGAGTGAAGGAAAGATGGCCTCCACTCATCTCTATGCCCTTGGAAGACCGGAGCGATGTCACTTCCCGTTCTGGCCATTTTTTTTTTAAAGCACTAGATCAATGCTCTTTTTTGATCCAATGCTTTATATTGCAGAGGAGAGATGTGGGATCTTATTGACCCCATATCTCTCCATAAAGAGGACCTGTCACTAATTATTTCTATCACAAAGGATGCATGCATTTCTTGTGATAAGAATAAAAGTGATTTAAATTTTTTTTAAAGGGACAGTGCAAAAAAAAAAAAACAAACAAAACCATTAAATAAATAAATAAAAAAAAGTTTAAAGTGCCCCTGTCCTCGCACGTAGTGGTGAATGCATACGTAGGTCATGCCCACATATGTAAATGGTGTTCAAACCACACACGTGAGGTATCGCCACGAACGTCGGAGCAAGAGCAATAATTCTCGCACAAGACCTCCTCTTTAACATTACACTGCTAACCTGTAGAAATTTTTAAAGCATCACCCATGGAGATTTTTAAGTACCGCAGTGTCACGCCATTCCACGAGCGTGTGCAATTTTAAACTGTGACATGTTGGGTATCTATTTACTCGTCGTAACATCCTCTTTCATATTTTACCAAAAAAATGTGGTATATATTGGGGGTTTTTTTGTTTTTTTTAATCAAAGTGTATTTTTTTTTTCCAAAAAATATATATTCATTTTTTAAAAACTGCGCATTTTGGTTTCAGTTTTTGGCCAACTGCATTTTGAATTTTCTGTTTCGGCACCAGAATTTTCATTTGGGTGCACCACTCGTAAAAATACATTTTGAAAAGTTATGTACAAAATCATAACACATTCCTTTAAGAGATGTAATAGTGGTACTCAGTAGCAGATCACATTGCATGCTAAAAAAAAAAAAAAACAACCGACTGTTAAAAGTCATCAAGTTTATTGATTTCTGACATGTAAAAGAAAAATGTACTCCTACATCATCATGTAATACCATTATTATATCATTAATTATGAAAACTTTATTATTAAGCATGACATCCTATATTCATAATTTTACCAGAAATTCAAGGTTACTGTGCTACAGCTACCTCATTTACCTGTACAAGGATGCCTAAGGCCTCATACACATGGGCGTCCTGGGCCATACAGCATAAAATTTGGACAGATTTCCCATCCAGGAGTCACAGGTGCTGTGTACAATTGCCTACAGAAATCAATGGCTGGACAAAGTTGTGCGTGGGAATGCGCAAGTATTTGCATAAACACACATGCATACAGATGTACGACCCTGGATGCAGACTGTAAAATGTATACAATATTGCATTTATTACTGATTAGGCCTTATGCACACAGAGCTTAAAAAACACCGCTTATACAGGTATTCAGCACATTTTTTTTATACCTGTAAGTGCTCTTTCCTATGTCCGCTTTTCAGCTGTCCATTTATGGATGAAAAATGGACACCCATGGATTTCTATGGACTAATGGATGTAAACGGATGATTATCCGTTTACATCTGTTAATGTCCGCATTCGTTAACATCAGTTTTTTTGAACGGAAGAAAACCCTATTTTTCTTCTGTAAAAAAACCCAGAACTGACAAAAAAACTGATGTAAATGGACAGAAAACAGATGTAAATGGACATACAATCAATTTTTGCATTAGTAAAGGATGTAAAAAAAGGAAGTAAACTGATGAAAAGCTGATGTGAACTAATCCGTTTTGTCTTGACGTGACTGAACTGATGAAAAAAAATGGGACGCCGTGTGAAAGGACCCTAAAAGCACCTCTATGTTAGCCACTGTGTCCAGGCACACATTAGCCTTTGAGGAATGTTTGAAAGAGAATCATTTACAGGCAGAAAGAAAAAACACCAAAGGCGCGTTCTGAGAGGAGCAGGAAAGACGCAGCAGGAAAAACGTGTCAAAACAAGTACAAGCATGCATTAATATGCACATATGTGCATAAAACTACTGGCAAACTGGCAAAAAAATGCTGTTTATTTTCATAAACTAAAGCGTATCAAAGAAGTGGTCATTTGTGCTCTGCCAAATATAAACAACAATGAAACAATAATAAATATAACTCAAATCAGCTGCTGAAATCACTAATTGTGGTTTTTAAAACACAAATCAAAATATAAATGAAAAAGGAAAGTGTGTTGCGGTGCTACTAGTCTGTAAATAAATGAAAAGTAATCACCATCCCAAATACTCAATAGAGTGCAAGATATAAATACCTGAATCCAAAATATATATAACACAATCTATCATATATGACACACAATCAACATATACAGTGAAAGAAATACGTTTCCTGTAGTTGGCCACCAGGTTTACATACATCTCAGGAGGGATTTTGGCCCACTCCTCTTGGCAGATCCTCTCAAAGTCATTAAGGTTTGGTGGCTGACGTTTGGCAACTCAAACTTTCAGCTCCCTCCAGAGATTTTCAATCGGATTAAGGTCTGGAGACTAGCTAGGCCACTCCAGGACCTTAATGTGCTTCTTCTTGAGCCACTCCTTTGTTGCCTTGGCTGTGTGTTTTGGGTAATTGTCATGCTGGAACACCCATCCATGACCCATTTTCAATGTCCTGGCTCAGGAAAGAAGGTTCTCACCCAAGATTTGACGGTACATTGCCCCGTCCATTGTCCCTTTGATGCGGTGCAGTTGCCCTGTCCCCATAGCAGAATGTTTCCACCACCACGTTTGACAGTTGGGATGGTGTTCTTGGGGTCAAAGGGCAGCATTCCTCCTCCTCCAAACAAGGCGAGTTGAGTTGATGCCAAACAGCTCGATTTTGGTCTCATCTGACCACAACACTTTCAACCAGTCCTCCTCTGCATCATTCAGATGTGCAGTGGCAAATTTCAGATGGGCCTGGACAGCTGCTTTCTTGAGCAGAGGGACCTTGCGGGCACTGCAGGATTTCAATCCTTGTCAGCGTAGTGTTTTACCAATTGTTTTCTTGGTGACTGTGGTCCCAGCTGCCTGGAGATCATTGACAAGATCCTCACGTGTAGTTCTGGGATGATTCCTCACTGTTCTTATGATCATTGACACTCCACGAGGTGAGATCTTGTATGGTGCACCTGACCTAGGAAGACTGACAGTTGTTTTGTGTTTCTTCCATTTGCAAATTATTGCACCAACTGTTGTCACCTTCTCAGCAAGCTGCTTGGCGATAGTTTGGTAGCCCAGTACAGCCTTGTGTAGATCTACAATCTTGTCCCTGACATCTTTGGACAGCTCTTTGGTCTTTGCCATGGTGGAGAGTTTGGAATCTGATTGTTTGATTGCTCTTGTGGACAGGTATATTTTATACAAGTAACAAAATGAGATTAGCAGCACTCCCTTTAAGAGACTGCTTCTAATCTCAGCTTGTTACCTGTATGAAAGACACCTGGTAACCAGAAATCCTGCTGAATGATAGGGGATCAAATACTTATTTCCCTCATAAACATGCAAATCAGTGCATAATTTGTTAGACATGCATTTCTTTTGAATTTTTTTTTTGCTATTCTGTCTCTCAGTGTTACAATACACCTACCATTCGATTTTTAGACTGATCATTTCTTTGTGAGTGGGCAAACATTCAAAATCAAGAGGGGATCAATACTTATTTCCTTCACTTTATAAGTCCTCAAATATCCAACAGAATGCAATTTGTGATCCTCCCACTGGAGATTGTGCCCTCTTCCCCAGTGCTGTCAAATCCACTCTCGGTGCACCACCGCAAATCTTGTTTCTAAAATTAACCCTCACTTTCCTATATGGACCTATTTAATTAAAAACAGGTCAGG